GGTTTTGCTGTTGTTTGGTAGGGCTTCAGAAAGACGGAACCCAGAGCTCTGTAATTGCTTTTCTTGAATATTTTTTCTGAAATATTGATTGTAATAAATATCTTAAAAGACAGATTTGTCTTTGACCATTCTTCATCAAAGAACACGCAGGACTGGTTTGAGTCCATCAGTTGTCTGCTAGTTGACGGACCTCCACAGCAGGGGGGGATGGTTTTCTATAGCCAGTGATGCTTTTCAGGCTCCCCCACACAGATGAGGGGTTGTTGGCTGAAACCTGAGCTTTCAGCTTTTCAGAGTAGCTCCTTTTTGCTGCTCTGATCTCCCTTGTCAGTGTGTTCCTGGCCTGGCAGTACGGAGTCCTGTCCCCGCTTCTGTAGGCCTCCTCTTTGGCATGACGAAGCTGCTTGAGTGTTGCTGTGAACCAGGGCTTGTTGCTGTTGTATGTGCAGAAGGACTTTTTGGGCACACACACATCCTCACAAAAGCTGATATAAGATGTCACAGTGTCAGTGAGTTCATCCAGGTCACTCCAGTCGGTGCAGTCAAAGCAGGCCTGTAGCTCTGACTTAGCCTCCTCAGTCCAGCTCTTCACTGTTTTGACTACAGGCTTTGCAGCTTTAAGTTTCTGCCTGTAGGTTGGAATAAGATGGACCATACAGTGATCAGAGTCCGAAAGCTACACGGGGGACAGAGTGCTAGGTGTCTTTTATTGCTGTGTAGCAGTGGTACAGTGTGATTTTGTCCCTGGTGGGACAGATGACATGCTGTCTTTATTTGGGCAGTTCGTGGGTGAGATTTTCTCTGTTAAAGTCCCCTAGAAGAATGAGTGGGGAGTCAGGATGCTAGTTATCTGTTCTGCCAGGAGCTGTAGTGCGCTAGCGTGGGCCTGCGGTCTTAAATACACTCCCACCAAAATGAAACTCGAAAACTCCTTTGGAGAATAAAAAGGTTTGCAATTGATAAAAAGAGTCTCTAAGTCCATGTTATACACTAGAGATCAAAATTAGAGAACAACCTAAAGTTTCCTAAATGTCAAGGTCACTGCTTATTCCTATTTGAAATTATCCAAATGGGAGTAAAAGAGCAGTATTTTAAGCATATTTCAGGAGTTACATATGTTCTGAAGCACAGTATAAAAAACGTATGAGATTTTTGAAAAAGAACACTCATCAAAATTAGAAAACATTTTCAGATACCTCCCAGTTATTGGTGATAATCTGGCACCTGGTGCTAATTTACTCAATTATCTGACAAACCCATTTAACTGGCAACCTACCTTTCCAGTTTTCACTGACTTTGCAAGATGGTGAGCTGTTCTAGAGTGACTGAAACCCTTCGGCAGCAGAATGTCCAGATGAAGGCCAAAGGGATGACCCTATCAGCCACAGCAAGAGAAGTTGGTCATTCCAAATCTATGATTTCTAGAATATTTCATCTTTTCAATGTCACAAACTCATTCAAGTCCCCCAAGAAGGCTTGTCATTTGCGAAAGACAAATGCATAAGAGGACAGGATAATGTGGAGAATCTCAATGGGCAATCGCTCGCCAGTTCAGCAGTGAACTGGGTAAGGATCTGTCTCATCATACAGTGTCTCAACGTTTAAGAGCATTTGGACTGAAAGCCCACTCTGCAGTGACCAAACCTCTAATTAGCAGAAAGAATCAAAAGGCTAGATTAACCTTTGCTGAGGAGCATGTTGTGTGGACAGAGGAGAACCTGTCCAAAGTTCACTTCAGTGATGAAAGCAAGTTTAATTTATTTGGGTCCAATGGGAAACATTATGTTCATTGTCAAACTGGGGAAAGACTGAACCCAAAGTGTGTAAAGAAGTCAGTGAAAGGTGGAGGAGGAAGTGTCATTTGGGGAATGTTTTCTGCAGGAGGAGTTGGGCCTCTTATACAGCTATGTGGCAAAGTGAATGCCAATGTTTATCAAAACCTTCTTCAAAAACATGCTGTTCCTCCCCTGCGTTCATCACCCAATCAGCCAGCAATTTTTATGTAGGACAATGCCCCCTCTCAAACAGCAAAAACAGGTAAAGCAGTTCCTTGAAACTGAAAACATTGAAATAATGAAAAGGCCAGCCCAGACTCCTGATCTAAGCCCAATAGAAAACCTCCGGAAAATCCTTGGCAACAAAGTTATGGCCAAGAAACCCACTACAGTCACTGAACTGTGGAAGAGACTGGAAGGAGAGTGGACCAAAATCACACCAGAGCAGTGTGAGAGACTAGTGATGTCCTGTGGCTGCAGATGTGCTGAAGTCATTCAAAGCAAGGGGGCTGTACAATTCCTACTCATTGTGACTGTTGTAACATTCAGAAAATCTAGTTGTGATCTTTCTCCGTGTTACAGTCATTGCTGTTCTCTAATTTTGATCATTGTGTTTTCTGCAAAATAAATTTTTTTTTGTTAAGTACATGGGGGTTTTTTGTAAAACACTGTTCTAGTAGCATGGTATAGCCATAACAAGAAGTCCTTCAAATGTTGAAGAATGAAGATTACATTATCTCTGAAAAAATCAAGTGTTCATAAATCGTTCTCTAATTTTGATCTCCAGTGTATTAATAAAACACAAGGAATTTGACTCAGCTCATTGGCTCCCAGTGTGCACAAATAAGTTCATCTCAGGTCAGAAAGTTTGGTTTGGTCTTTGTCACTGTCGCACCAAATAAGCCTTTGAAGTTTACAGGCTAGCAAACCCATCTCAGTTAGCTTGTAATAAATTACACTGGCCAATGATGTGCAATAGGAGCCTATATGGTGTCACCAACATTTCATTCCATTACACGCGTCCACAATCAGGCACTTAGGAAATTATCTGAAAATACAACCAGTATTTCAGTAAAATTAAAACAAAATAAAAAAAAGCTGCTGTTATTCTGTGTTCATCTTTGATGTCACAGTAAATAAACCTATGCAGTCATATTTGCAAAAAATCCAGTAATATTACTTTCAGTTGCAGCTTCAACTTGAAACACGGTTATAGCCTAGTTTACAAACAAGTTTGAGTTCCTCTCATCAGTTAACCACTACTGCATGTTGTTACATTTGCTGTGTGCCAGCTTGCACTGCTAAGCAATATAAAAATATTAGATATTACAACCTGAAAATATAATGTCTCTGGCTGTGGCTATAGCCAGCACAGAGGCATAAAACAGCAAATGTAGGTGCATCCTATATTGAGAAGAAAAAAAAAACCTGGAATGCTTCAACCTCTACAGTGCTCAGTGCAGGGGCTGAACCTGAAAAGGATGTCTGAGGGACAATTTGAGGAATTATTGCTGCCACAGCAACTGAAGAGGCAGAGGAACAATTACAATGACCTGGTGGACCTGGATTAGTACCTGGCCATATGTCTGAGGTAAAATATATAGTGAACACCACCCTCAATAAATCAGTCAGATAGGTTTAGCTGATCGGTGCACCATGTGCTTATGGTAACAATGTTGCAACATTCCAGCAAGCTGCATCATGATTGGTCCCATGTGTTCCTGTTGCTGGTGAATAGTTGGAAAAAAATATCAACCTTGGAATGTATTAAGCAAATTGAGGCTTGGCACACCAAAATGTGGAGAAGAAAATGGCAGAATACATTAGGGGGCCAAGGCTACCTTCTATTGTAACAAAGTGGCTGACAAAAAAAAAAAAAAAAACCTAAGGTTTCATTCAACTGGTGGTTCTCTCAGCTGATGATTCAACTGACTGACTTTCAAGGGGAAGTCCTAGTGTTTTCAACTGCGCTCTTTTCCTCTGCACTGTTTGTCAAGTGGTGTAACACAGTCCTGTCAAACATAGACTGAAACAGTGGGTCTCCCTGCTAATGCAAACTTTTAATATTTGAATCAAATAGTTTGTAGAAAATATGATATGAAGTGGGCTACAGCTGTTAATTCAAGGTCTCTGATACATATTCAGTGAACTTTTTTGTTAATAAACATTAGTAAAAGTATCAGACCGGACTCAATATCAGCAGACACACCATTTTTTAAATTTCTACTTTAGCATGGAGATGAAAACAAAATGCCCTAACACTTGTCCTACCTGTGTATTGCTCAGTGACAGTTTAGTTTCCAGTAATAGGATTCTGCTCATCACATTTTCCCAGCTCTCTCTGCATATGGTAATGGCTTTGTCTTCATTCTAGAATAGAGTATGATAAATACAAAACATAGCAGTAATAAACATTTGAGGTATAATTTCATGTTTTTGATAACATTTTCTTTTGCTTGTCCAATAAAGGAAAAATACTATAACCCCATCTCCAAAAAAAAAAAAGTTGGGACACTGTAAAATGTTAATAAAATTTGAATGCAATAATTTGCAAATCATTTAAAACTTATATTAAATATAAAATAGTAGACGGACAACATATCAAATACTGAACCAAACTGTATTTATATACATATATATTGTAAATGGTGTATATGCATTATAGCACACTCAAAGTACTGGGATATCACCGGGAGCAACTTAGAGTTCAGTGTCTTGCTCAAGAGCACTAAGACATGTGGACTAAAGAAGCATGGAATCAAACCACCAACCTTCAGGTTAGTAGACGACCTGCTCTACCTTCTGAGCCACAGCTACCCCAGCAATTTGATCCCAGCAACAGGTTTCAAAAAGGTTGGCACAAGAGGACATCTCCCACTGTGTTGTATCACGTCTTCTTTTAACAACTTTGTAACCATTTTGGAAACTGAGCAGACCAATAGTTTCGCTTTTCCTTTATTTAGGATTTATGCCACTCAACTTTTTGGGGCCTGCTTTGTCATATTTTTCACTTCATAATGCACCAAATGTTTTCAGTGTGTGACAGATCTGGACTGCAGGCAGGCCAGTTTAGCACCCAGACTTTTATCACAGAGTGGTGTTGTAATACTTGGTAAGATGTGGTTTGGTAATGTCTTCCTGACAAAGCAAGGCCTTCCCTGAAAAAGACATCATCTGGATGACAGCACATGTTGTTCCAAAATCTGTATATACCATTCAACATCAACAGTGATTCCACAAATGTGCAAGTTACCAAAGCCATGTGCATTAATGCACCCTAATGTCATCATAGATGCTGGATTTTGAATTGTGCACTGATAACACTGGCCAACAAATTTTATGAAAATTTTTGTGTCCTCTAAAATTTTTGGTGAAACCAATAGATTTTTACATGCTGAACACAAATATGTAATTGTAATTTCAGTATCACAAAGGGTTTTTAAGGAAACTGCATTTATGCATTTAACATAATGTCTCCAGCAGCATAGGCCTACGCTACGATATACGATTAACAATGCGATACCCAAGCAACACGACAGAAATCTAAAAGTGTTTTGCCTCAGATTTTCACTTATCGTCACTGTCCGATGTCTCGCGTATCAGTGTCCAACAATAGTCTCCCAGCATAGACGGACTCCACTTTCCCTGGTAGCGTTTCTCCATGTTGGCAATCTCTTGATGAAACCTTTCAGCATGCTCGTCACTAACAGCGTTGAGATTTTCTGGAAAAAGTCTAAGTGAGAATGAAGAAAATGTATCTTAAGCGACTTGTCGCAGTTCATCGACTTGTATGCTTGCAGCAGACTTTCAACCAGGACTTACAACTGCCTTCCATCTGCAGACCTGGGGCCCTGAGGGCCAAACACTGGCCCCTTGCCATGAGGCACATATTCACTGATCAACAGACGTCTCTTTGAAGCAGCACAAAAACAAAGAAACAGTTTATACTACTACACAGTGTTACTACTGAACTTGTGTGCATTTAGTGCAGTACTGACTGTAGGTTAGTGTTTGTCCAGCAGGTGTCGCTGTTACATGAAACATGTGCTGGGACCACACCTTGACTCAGTTTTACCAGTCCACGACTGAAATGTGTGAAATTTTCTGAGAATTTAAACATGATCATTTTAGTCATTCAATTACTTATTTCATTATGTTTCATTTAGTTTTCTGGATATTTTATTACCCCGTGGTCTAATTGTTGCTTCATATTCTAAATACTAATAAAACCCTTAATTCACAAAAAATAAATACTGGAAACTTTAGGGCTATTAATTAAATAATCATAAGAATAGACCTCAAAGTGTAATGTTAATTATTAAATTCATCAGATTTCCACACATTTTAACACAGTCACATCCTTTGTGTTGTCAGCAGTTCAAAGACAGTGTAACGTGTCTGCCATTTTACAGCAGTCAAACGCCCCTGGACTCTGACTAAACATGTCAAATGGCTGACAGGGTGTGACTTCCTGTAAAATGGCCCTCTTCAGAGAAAACAGGCAGTCACATGCCCTCATGTGTTGGCGAGGAGCAGCAGGTGTGTCCATCATGTCTCATCATGTCAAGGTTATTGTGAAGAGAAAACGGTCACCTGGTATGGGATTTTTTAAATTCTAAACAAATCAAAATTTGGAATCAAAAAGCAATCCATCGATGTCAGTGTAAAAGGTCAGACTGTCAACCTGTCTGAAGAATTTTGTCAAATCTTCATGACGGTGCCGAAAAAATAAAATTTTTGTATCTGATGAGAACAGGTGTATCTGATGACAACAGGTTCCACCCTTGCAACCTTGATCCAAGCTTCTGCTTGACTCTTCGATAAATTCAAATCTCTGACAAGATCAATGAGCTCTGCCTGAGAAATTAAATGAGGATCACTGGATGTTGATGGTTCAAAATCTGGATCATTGGAGCTGCAACATCGGTCAATCGGTTCGTCTATCTCTGTCTGCTCCTCTTCGTCTTCCAGCGTCCACATCTCTGGCGGTTTTGGAACAGGAACACCGTTATCATGTGGTACTGGTCTCATTGCAGAGGCAAGGTACTCCTGTTCTTGGAAGAAAATCCTGACACATTCGTCATGCAGAAGTAACAATCAGTTACATGATCCTTCTGCTCCCTCCAAATCATTGGGACAGCAAATGGCATGGATGGACGCTTACCCTTCAGCCAAGCACGCAGACTGGTAGCACAAGATGCACAACATATATGAGGAGCCCATAATTTGTCCTGGTCTCCAATTTTGCATCCGAAGTATAACTCATATGCCTTCTTTATGAGAGCTGTCATACTTTATTTCTGTACTTTCAAAGTGAACTCGCCACAAATGTAACAAAACATGTCACAGCTATTGCGACATTGGTGCGACATTTCAGAAACTATATACAATTCAATTCACAGCCTTTGAGCTCGCTAGTTTTATTTTCAGTATAATACTCACTGACACTGACTTCAGTTAGAATGACTGCTGCTGCTAGGTAGGCCTATATATAGGGTTGCGTAGGCCTATATATAGGTCATGGGCTACTGCCAGACTATATGTGAAAAGACCGAACTGAAAAATTCGTATTTTATATCACAGAGTTAGCTGTTTCTCAAGAACTGTACGTGATGGGAAAATTTTGAAGTTATTTCTGTGATCAGCATCATAAACTCTATCTGGTACACAAGGAATTATGAAGGAAACAAAAACCTTGTAAACCAGTGTTATTTAGTTCCTTTCCTCCTGTTTAGCCTGGAGGATGTGCCGTCCATGATTTCCAAAAAGAATAACAAATTCTGACTATTCAGACCACAGGACACCTTTCTATGTTGCCTCAGTTCATCTTAGATGAGTTTGAGCCCAGAGAAAGTGGCAGCCTGTCTGGATCTTGTTTATACATGTTTTTCTTTACATGGTAGAGTTGCAACTTGTATTTGTGGATGTAGCAGTCAGCCATGTTTACTGGCACTAGGTTTTAGAGGTGTTCCTGAGCCCATGCAGTGATTTTCACTACAGAATTGAGTTGGTTTTTAATCTTCTGCGCAATCCCTGCTCAACCTGGCAGAGCTTGAGCAGTTTTGCAAAGAAGAATGGAGTAATGGAGTGGGTTCTCTCCGGGTACTCCGGCTTCCGCCCACAGTCCAAAGACATGCAGCTTAGGTTGATTGGCCTCTCTAAATTGCCCATAGAAGTGCGTGTACGTGTGTGTGATTGTTCGACTATGTGTTAGCTCTGCGATAGATTGGCGACCTGTCCAGGGTGTACCCCACCTTCGCCCGATTGTCGGCCGGGATTGCTCCGGCCCCCCTGCGACCCCGTTCAGGGATTAAGCGGTAGAAAATGAATGAATGAATGAATGAATGGAGTAAAATTGCAGTGTCCAGATGTGCAAGCCTGACTGAGACCTATCCACACAAACTCAGTGCTGTGATTCCAGCCAAGGGTGCATCTACTAAATGCTGACTTGAAGGGGGTGAATATTTATGCGATTTATTCACATTACATATTTTTATTTGATATTACCTTGCAGAAACCAGTTTTTACTTTGACATTAAAGAGGTTTTTTTATAATTTGTCAAAAAAGCCAAATTATATTGAACATGACTGATTTATACTCATGTCTTCCGATGAGGAAGCAGAGGCCGGGGGATCGGAGGTGGACTCGTCCATCACCCAAGCTGAAGTCACCGAGGTAGTTGAGAAGCTTCTCGGTGGCGGGGCACCTGGGGTGGATGAGATCCGCCCTGAGCATCTTAAGTCTCTGGATGTTGCGGGGCTGTCTTGGCTGACACGCCTCTGCAACATTGCATGGCGGTCGGGGATAGTGCTTCTGGACTGACAGGACAACAAGAAGGGGGATCGGAGGGTGTGTTCCAACTATAGGGGGATCACACTCCTCAGCCTCCCCGGGAAAGCCTATGCCAGGGTACTGGAGAGGAGAATTCGACACATGTCACAGCTATTGCGACATTGGTGCGACATTTCAGAAACTATATACAATTCAATTCACAGCCTTTGAGCTCGCTAGTTTTATTTTCAGTATAATACTCACTGACACTGACTTCAGTTAGAATGACTGCTGCTGCTAGGTAGGCCTATATATAGGGTTGCGTAGGCCTATATATAGGTCATGGGCTACTGCCAGACTATATGTGAAAAGCCCGAACTGAAAAATTCGTATTTTATATCACAGAGTTAGCTGTTTCTCAAGAACTGTACGTGATGGGAAAATTTTGAAGTTATTTCTGTGATCAGCATCATAAACTCTATCTGGTACACAAGGAATTATGAAGGTAACAAAAACCTTGTAAACCAGTGTAATAAGCCAGATGGTTCCTCTCCTGTTTAGCCTGGAGGATGTGCAGTCCATGATTTCCAAAAAGAAT